AAATTTAATAAATACATAAATTAATTAAGGAAGAATTCTGTTATTAAGTTTTAACTAAATGTTTAAAAAATGTGATAATTCAGAAATTATTTGTTACTTTTGTTAATATATGATATATATTTATTTTTAATAAATTTATATTCTATTCAATTAAACATTGATTAAAATCATTGTCCCATTTTGATTTCATAGTAGTTTGCGGTATTATACACATAAACACGAAATTATGCGCAGAAACTGACCCACAGGAATTAAATTCGCGCAGCAACTGATGCGCAGCAACTGACTCAAACGCGCAGAATTAAACGCATTGAATATTATTTTTAATTCATTAAATTTATTAAAATAAATTATATTTTAGAGATGTTATTTATTGTAAACATCCCAAGTGCGAAATGCCAAGACTGCAAAAACGGCCCATCATTGGTGCAGTAATGTCTGCCGAGAATTGGCAGTAGTTACTGGGCCATTATTGGTGTCCAAAACGTCCCATTACTGGGCCAATGATGGCGCTGATGGTCACAATTTCAAATTTTTTAAGACTGGGCCAGCTCTCGGCCCAATAATAGCTCATTCATGGCAAAGTTTATCAATGTTTAATGGCAAAAGACAATTGCCAGTGATGCGCCGACCATCGGCCCAGTAATGGCTCATTATTGGCACTTTAATGGCAAAAAATTTGTATCGTTCATGGCAAATTATAATTACCAGTATTGGGGAGTAGCTTGGCTCAATAACGGCACAATATTGGCAAAGTTGATCAATCTTTAATGGCAAAATTCAATTGTTAGTGATGTCACGAAGATCGGACCATTAATGGCACATTAGTGGCACTTTAATGGCAAACATTTTGTATCTTTGATGGCAAATTATAATTGCCAGTATTGGGGCGTAGCTTGGCCCAATAACGGCACATTCACGGCAAAGTTGATCAATCTTTAATGGCAAAAGACAATTGACAGTAATGTGACGAAGATCGGCCCATTAAAGGTACATTAATGGCATTTTAATTTGGTAAAATTTTTTATAAGAATTTAATTTTAAGAAACATTAAGTTATTCAATAAATTATTTATTTTGTATTTAAATAATTGAATAAGCTTGAAAAGGATTCAAATTAAAATATTTGAAACTTTGAATTTTCTATATTTTTAACTGTCAATTTTAAAGAATTAATTTTTTTGAAAAAGTTTAATTAAGTATTAATTTAAAAAAGAAGTTATTAATGTTTTCAAATAATTTTACAATTAAAGAAATTCGTAAATAAATGTAACAGAAACCTTTTTTTGAGTAAAATTTTTCCTTTATTATCTAAAAATTAAGAAATTTTCAATTTCACTTTCAATTAATATTTGCAATTGACAAATAGAATTTATAAACATTTTTTTCCTTTATTTTTTAAAAATCTTTGAATTTTTCTTAAAGCAATTGTAATTAAGAAATAAAAATGATGCAAATTATTTCCTTAAGAAAATTTATTGAATAAATGAATGTTTTTTAAAATTTAATTCTCATAATTCAATTTTAAGAAACATTTAGTTATTCAATAAATTATTTATTTTTGCATTTAAATAATTAAATTCTTGTAGAATTTTCTAGTAAAAATTGATTTCAAAATGGATTCTAGTCAAATTTTTAGATAATAATTAAATATTAAAAATATGCCATGAATTTTGATATTAAAATTTTTTGAAATTCAATTGCCAATGATGTGACGAAGATTGGCCCATTAAAGGCACATTAATGGCACTTTAATGGCAAAAAATTTGTATCGTTCATGGCAAATTATAATTACCAGTATTGGGGAGTAGCTTGGCTCAATAACGGCACAATATTGGCAAAGTTGATCAATCTTTAATGGCAAAATTTAATTGCCAGTGATGTCACAAAGATCGGACATTATAGCACATTATTGGCACTTTAATGGCAAAAAATTTGTATCTTTCATGGCAAATTATAATTGCCAGTATTGGGGTGTAGCTTGGCCCAGGAATAGCACATTAATGTCTATCATTTTGTATCTATGATGGCAAATTATAATTGCCAAAATTGGGACGTAGTTCGGCCCAATAATGGCACAGTATCGGCCAGTGTAGTGTAGCTTATAAGAACCCTTTTGCTTCCTCGACTTCAAGTCAGAGTAGCAGAGTGGTCAGAGTGTTAGGCTGTGGTGCGTCAGGTTCAGGTATCGATCCCCGCAAGAGGTAAGAATTTTTCAAATATTTGTAAGTTTGCGTTTAATTTAGGGAAATAAGCCGTATAAATGTTATAAATTAATTAGTTAATTAAATAAAAAATTTATTTTTATTTTTTTCTAATTTTGTCTACACTGGGGGAGTAATGGCAGCCAATACTGGGCCATTAATGTCTGCTGAGATCTAGCTGCCAATAATGGGCCATTAATGTCTGCCGAGATCTGGCTGCCAATATTGGGACAGTAATGTCTGCCGAGATCTGGCTGCCGACGTCCAACCGCGGTTAACACCACAAGAGTCGGCGCAAAGTCGGGCCAATATTGTCTGCCAAGTCTCGATGCCAGCTTTGCCAATACTGGGCCAGTGTTGGGCCGCGTTGGTTTTCGCACTTGGGATATCTTAATAACACAAACTACAAATTTAATAAGACATAAGTTCAATTTGATCAATATAAAAATTATATTTTATAGTTAAAAGACGTCTTGACCAAAATACCGCAGGAATTAGTACACTTACCCTATGAAGAAAAATTGAAATAAAATTGTAAACTCAAGAATTAATTTAGTTTTTAAATTATTAAAATATTGAATCTGTTGGACATTGGGACCATTTCATTTAATTTAGCAGGGTTGCCACGCAACCTGGAAACTTGGAAAACCTGGAAATCTCAAGGAATTTTTATAAACCTTGAAAAAACCTGGAAAAGTCAGGGAATTTTGATTGGAATCCTGGAATATTATTGTTTTCTAAAGTTATTGTGCTTATTCTTGAAATCTAATTTTTCTATTTAATTCAATTTTCTTAACTCAATTTTAAAAGAGTTGCCTTTACAAATAATAAATAATAAAACTCATCGCCAAATTTCAATTATTTTTAATACAATTTTAATGGAATTTCTCGAAAAATGTATAATTATTCTTAAAAATTTTATTCAAATTCATCAAAGAAATTGAATTATTTTCAAAAATAATAAATTTCTTAGCAGAAATTCAATTATGATCAAAAGTTTAAAAAATTTATCGTCAAAATTTCAATTATCTTTATAAATATTAAAAATTTTCTCCAAAATTCAATTATTTTCAAAAATTTTAATGAAATTCTTTTTAACAAATTCAATTTTTTTTCAAAAATTCTCCTCCAGTCAATAATTTTAAATATCTACTATTTTAATAAAATTTTCCAAAAGAAATGAATTATTTACAAAATTTTTTTATAAATTTCTTCGCAATAATTCTATTATTTTCAAAAATGTACAATTTATTTTTACAGAGATTCAATTATTTTTATAAATATGTAATACAATTTTTTACAGGGATTCAATTATTATTATTTTCATAGATAATAAAACTCATTGCAGAATTTCAATTATTTTTGATACAATTTTAATCGAATTCCTCGAAAAATGTAATTATTCTTAAAATTTTATTAAAATTCGTCAAAATAATGCAATTATTTAAAAATTTGTTAATAAAATTCTTTATGAGAATTCAGTTTTGAGAAACATTCAATTATTCAATAAATTATTTATTTTTGTATTAAAAATAATTAGGTATTTAAAAAAAATATTAAAAAATTCGTCTTAAGAATTCAATTATTTTCAAAAGTAATAAAATACTTAGCAGAAATTCAATTATTATGGTCAAAAGTTTAAAAAACGTTATAGTCAAAATTTCAACTATTTTTATAAATATTAAAATTTTTCTCTAAAATTCAATTATTTTCAAAAATTTTAATAAAATTCTTCAATAAATTATATTTTTTTGTATTTGAATAATTGAATTGTCGTAGAATTTTCTAATAATGGTAATTGATTTAAATATGAATTTCAGTTAAAACTTTAGATAATAATTGAGTTTTGAAAAGATTTCAAATTATAATCTTTGAATGTTTGAATTTTTCATACTTTTAACTTAAAATTGTGTAGATTTAATTTTTTTGTAAAAGTTGAATTGAATTTTTTTGAAGTTATTTAAAGTTTTTATTTTCTAATATATATATATGATTGAAGAATTTCCGAATACCTGAATAATCGATGAAATTTCGTAAAATTGAATTGTAAACAAAAGGATTTGAAAATGTTGAAAGAAATTTTTCAGAAATTATTAACCTGGAAACCTGTAAAACCTGCGAATGTCAGGGAATTTTATGAACCTTGAAAAAACCTGGAAAAGTCAGGGAATTTTGGTTCGGAATCCTGGAAAATTGTTGTTTTCCAAAGTTATTGTGTTTATTGTATTGCGGAAAAATATTCAATTTCTAAAATTCTTAAGAAAATTATGAATTTTTGTGTCTATAAACTATAAATCTACTTCTGCTAATAATTTGTTTTCAAATAACTTAATTCCTAAAGAACTATCATATAAAATTATTACATAATTAAAAATTATTTCATAAATAATTTGACTTAAATATTTTCAAATTAATTGAATTTTAAAAGAGTTGTATATACAATTTTCATAAATTGATCAACTTCAAAAGGTATGAATTTGAATTTTTTGAAAATCTTAATTCCTATGGAAAAATAGTATAATGATTAAATATTTATTTAAAAAAGAAGTTATTGATGTTTTCGAATAATTTTACAATTAAAAAAATGAAAATTAAATTTTTGTGGCAACCCTGATTGAGTAGGTAATAAATAAATTTTTTAAAAACCTGTAAAAATTTCGTTTTTGAACCATGGATAACCTATGGAAAAGTCGCAGGGAGTTTCAAATGAATAAAAGCGTGGGAATCCTGATGAAGATTTAAATATCAATGATTTATTTTTAGTTTCTAATGAATTTTATTTTTTTCTTGTTTGCAGATATAAGATATGGCTATGTCGTCGATCAGCAGCCGATTGGTCGGCTACTATTTCGGCAATTTTGCCAGGATAAGAAGCCAGCTTATCATAGTTACAATCTATTCCTAGACGCAATTGAAAAATACGAGATTGAAATGGACGAGAATCGGACGGAATTTGCTAAACGACTTTTTGAACAATACCTGAAACGTGAGGGTTCCGAAGTCATTGACATTTTGAATGATTCGTTGATTTCACAGTGCGAAGAGAGACTTGGCTCTGGTGGAAAGGAAATTTTTGTTGAAATCGCGCAAACAGTGAAAAATTTCTTGGCCGGCGAGCCTTTCTCGATTTTCCTCACCAGCTACTATTTTCTCAGGTTTGATATTCAATTTTCTCTTCTCTTTTTTTGCTCCTTATCTATTGGATTTTAAAAAATTATAATAAATTCAACTTACATTATTCTTTTCGTAAGAGACATTTTTTTCGATTTTTAACTACTTTTTTACGATTAGCTACTATTTGGATACTTTTTTTTAAATTTGTGACACTAAAAACTACTTTATTCTTTTTTTCTTTTTTTTTTTGTTAGAAAATTTGTACAAATTTAAATCTGGTAATAGTTGAAATAAAAGAATATTATTCTTAAATTTTAATAACTTTAATAACTTTCTCGAAAAAAATCAATTTTTACAAATTTTAATAAAATTTTTTAAAAGAATTTAATTATTTCCAAAAAAATTTTAATATAATTCAATAATAACATTTTTAATTAATGATCCCCAAGTTTTGAACGTTCAAATGAACGAAATATTTTTTATTGAAGATATTTTTATAAATTACTAATCACAAAAAATTTAAAAACTGAAATATTTACGGTTAGAAACTCAGTTATTAATTTTTTGGATAGTGACGCAAAATAATTGCAATAAAAATTTAATTTGTAGAAGAAATAAATAAATTTCGTTCATTTAAACGTTCAGAACTTTAGGATCTTTTTAATTACAATAACTAACCAACACTATTATTAACAATAGATTTAAAGAATTTAAAGAATTTAGTCAAACAAATTTAATTATTTTCGAAAAATCTGATAAATGTTTTCAAAAGAATTCAATTTTTTAACAATATTTTAATAAGCTTTAATAATAAAATTATTAATTACAAATTTTTAACAAAATCGATTAATACATGTAATTTTCTCATGAAATCCCTCAAACATTTTATAAGCTGATATAAATGTACACGCAAAAAAAGGTTGGATAATACATCCAATTTTTATTGGATAGAAGGAAATTAGCTGTTATATCTATGTAAAGCCAGTATAGTGCCAATCAAATTTAACTTAACTTAACTCGATTCCGACAATTTCGTGCGTAAACGTGAACTGTCAAGACAAAAATACTATAATGGATGAAAACACGATAATTTGTTTGAAAATAATCGCGCCAACAAACTGTGAACATTTAATAACATTGTTAAACGAAAGTGATTAAGTGAAAGTGTCAAGTAATAAAGTAGCAAAATTGAAATCAAAGTTTGTAAAATTCTGTCTTCGCTTTTATAGAGAATCTTATAGATTATGAAACACTATTATCTCTTAAAGAGAATATGATTTTGATAAATTGATTTATTTGTGATGAGGAACAACCGCTCCACGATGAGGAATACCTAACGCGGAAAAAATTTTTAGGTTATGTTTGTTAATTTTAAAGTAAAAAAATCATAAAGAGAATTAATTTTCAGTGATAACTAATGATATTTAAATCTTAATTATATCTAAAACATTCAATAAGAATTAAATTAGTAAAATTAAATAAACAAATAATTTTATTAATATTCATGTGTAAATTTAATTAAATATGTAAAATATAAATGGTTATTTCACTATTAGAAAATAATTGCATTATCCAACTTAAAAGTATGGATAACAAAAAAAATAGACAGTTCACAAAACAAATTGGCTCCCCTATCCAACAGAATTGGATAGTACATCCAACATCTAAGAATCCAATTAAATTGGTTGTCCTGTCCAACTAAATAGAACGCGCTCCAGACACTATCTAAAATAGCTGGCGTATCCAACACACAGTAGGGTAAGTGTGGGTATTCCTGCGAGTGACACAATTATTGCGATTTTTAAAAAATTATTATTTTCATTTTGAAATACACGCCTAATTTTTTCAAAATAATTACAAAAATTATTTTGAATCTTACTTGATAGAATAGCTCATAAAAATGTACATTCCGACAATTATTTATTTATTTATTTAAATTTGAAATATATTATGACAGAATTCTGTGAAATTATCAAATATGGCAGTCATGAATACATATTAAAAACCATTGATATTTCCAATATTCACTATAGTATACACGTTTCAGTGTTACTAATCAAAGAAGTACACTTTATTATTTGAAAAATATATTAATTTACCCATCTTTTATTGATTTTCAATTAATAATACTTAAAACTATATTAGTAGCAGAATTTTTACTGCATGTTAGTATTATTGCGATTTTTAAATACGTTTACTGCGCAACGCATACTAAACATAACCTCTTTTTTGACAACCAGCGCGCTATGCGACACCTGATTTTCTGCAATAATGCTCGCACAATAATTGGTGTTTCCTTGATAAATGTCACACAATATTAATCGCGAGTCAACAATAATACATGTGTTGACAATTAGTTTTTAATTTACTTTTTTAAATACAAATAAGTAACGAAATTTGATTGAGTTTAATGATTTGGAAAATATAATAATTGAACTTTAATTTGTAATTGAAAAAACTGCATTTTATTTTTTCGTAAACTTAGACGAGCTTCGCAAAGTTAACCTACACTAAAAATTCGCAGAAATACCCACACTTACCCTATACTGTATCCAACTATTTTTCTGCGTGTATAATAAAATTCAAACTTAAAAGATTTAAATTATAATTTCTTCAAATATTCTTATGTTTATTTTTCTTATGTTTCTAATAATGTATTTCTAAAAAAAAAATTTCTAATAAAGGTGATTTTCTAATTTTCTGTCTTCTAATAAAGGTAATTTTCTAAAAATTTATTTTTCTAATAAGGGAGCGTTCACAAATTATGTCACGCAATTTTTCGGGATTTTAGACCCCCTCCCCTCCCCCCTGTCACGCAATTTCATGAAATTTCCCATGTAAAAATACATTGTGTCACGTTTAGTAGAGACCCCTCTCCCCCCAAAAACGTTACATCATTTGCGAATGCTCCCAAGATAATTTTCAAAATTTTCTTCTTTCTAACAATATTCAATTTTTGTAATCACGATCAACAGGTATATGATTAAAAAATAAAATTTACGAAAATTTTTTAATTCTTAAAAAAAAATACTTGAGATTTCGTTAAAAAATTATAATAAAAAATAGAAATTATGCAAATTTTTTAACAAAATTTTAAAATAATCTAGTTAAAAATTGTAATTAAACAAATTCGATGAAAACAGAAATTTTAATTAAATTATTTATTATGTAAGGGGAGAGTGGGGCAAACCGGCCCGGTGGGTAAACCGGCCAGGTGTCAATATCTCCGAAATGGCGAAATTGTCAAAAGTGCTATTTAGAAATTTGAAACAACCATGTGTAGTATACCTTAATTTTTCAATTTGACAATTTTTACTTTTGTTTGTGCAACGCTGGGAGCAAAAGTTTTTTTTTTAGTTTTTTTCTACACTTTTACGAATTTTTTCTTAAGGAAATTCTGAGGAAATCGTGTAATATTTCCAAATATTAGGTCTTGGGTTTTGAAGGTACACACCTCAGGAATATTTACCACCAAAAACTTTGATGAATTTGCAAAGCGTTTCTTTTTGACAAATATTTATTCTCAAAATGGGCCTGGTGGGGCAAACCGGCCATAGGATATTTGCATTGTACCAGAGTTTCACGAAAATTATTATTAATTAGAATGTTTTTTTCATTAAAATATTTACTTTCAATGAAAAATAATTATCTTCCAATGAGAATTAGACCCTTTAATATTGTTTCCCTGATAATTTCAAACATTTTTGTTTTTTTATTAAAAAAAATTATTTATTTAATTAAAATTCAATCCTGTATTATTATTTACATTATTACAAGCATTGTTCGCATGATTCTTTATGTTTGTTGTTATTGTCGATTATGCAAATGCAATATTATAGATAAAAAACCCAACTGGCTGGTTTACCCCAGGGGGTGGGGCAAACCGGCCCGTTTGCAAATTTTTTAAAGTTAACACAGCAACTAAACAATAAAAGATAAAGTATAGGTGTCTCTGGGAAAAAGTTGCGCAATTAAATGATCTTTCAAACAAGCCATCGAAAAATGAAATCGGTTGATTCGTTTAGTCACAAAAGTAAAAAAACCCAATTTTTGTAAAACGAAACATTGTTTTCAACTTGTAAAATTGATAAAAATAGAATAATAAAATAAAAAATAAATAATAAAGTCTTTGGAAAAAAATCAATTTTTATGGAAAATTGTGATAAAACTCGTTGAAAGAATTCAATCATTTTCAAAAATTTTGATCAAAAGCCTTTAAAAAGAATCCAAATATTTTCAATATCATTTTAATTAAATTTCCCTAAAGAATTTAATTATTTAAAAAAAATTTTTTTTAATTCTTCCAAACAATTCAATTATTTTCTCAAATTTTGATAAAATTCGCTGAAATTCAATTATTTTTAAACACCAATTTTATTCAAATTTCTAGAAAGAATTAAATGATTTCAAAAATTTTGATAAAATTCTTAAAAGAATTCAAATATTTTCAATATAATTTTAATTAAATTTCCCGAAAGAATTGAATTATTTAAAAAAAATTTCTTTAATTCTTCTAAATAATTCGATTATTTTCTAAAATTTTAATAAAATTCACAGTAATTCAGTTATTTTTAAAACAATTTTAATAAACTTCTTTATAAAAATTCAATTATTTCCAATACAATTTTAATTAAATTCCCCGAAAGAATTAAATTATTTAAAATTATTTTTTCATATATCCTCAAAATAATTCAATTATTTAAAAAAATTTGAATAATTTAAACGAATTCATTTATTTTCAATACAATTTTGATTAAATTTGCCGAAAAAATTGAATTATTTTCAAAAAGTGTTATAAATTTTTCGGTACAATTCAATTATTTTCTAAAATTTCGATAAAATTCGCAGGAATTCAATTTTTTTAAAAACAATTTTAATGAAATTTCTAGAATGAATTTAATTATTTGAAAAAATTTTACTAAAATTCACAGGAATTTAATTATTTTTAAGAAAATGTTAATAAAAGTTCTAGAACTAATGAAATTATGTAAAAAAAATGTTGATAAATTTCTTTATAAAAATTCAATTATTTCCAATGCAATTTTAATGAAATTCTCTGAAAGAATTGAATTATATATATAAATTCCTTCTAAATAATACAATTATTTAAAAGAATTCTATTTATTGCAATTTAGAGAAATTTTATCCATTTATTTATTTAATGTTATAAAAAGGTAAATTTTTCATTTTCGAATTTGAAAATGTCATTATACTAGGTATTATAAAGAACTTGAGAAAAAAGATAAAAGTTGTAAAATATTTGTTTACTTTTATTATTGACTAACTGTGGTGTAATATTTTCAGGTATCTTCAATGGAAATGGTTGGAGGCGCAGCCAGTGACATACAAAACATTTCGAATGTACAGAGTCTTGGGAAAAGGTGGTTTTGGCGAGGTGTGCGCCTGTCAAGTGAGAGCGACGGGTAAAATGTACGCGTGCAAAAAATTGGAGAAAAAGCGAATAAAGAAACGTAAAGGCGAATCAATGGTGCTAATCGAAAAGAATATATTGCAAAAAATTAATTCGAAATTTGTCGTCTCATTGGCATACGCGTACGAGACAAAGGACGCATTATGTCTCGTGCTCACAATAATGAACGGTGGCGATCTTAAATTCCACATTTACAATATGGGCGGTGATCCTGGTTTTGATATTAATCGCGCCAGGTTCTACGCGGCCGAAGTCGTTTGCGGCCTTGAGCATCTTCATCTTCAAGGAATTGTCTACAGAGACTGTAAGCCAGAAAATATTCTCCTCGACGATCATGGCCACGTGAGAATATCGGATCTTGGTTTGGCGGTGGAAATCACTGAGGACGATATGGTGAGAGGACGAGTTGGAACCGTTGGCTACATGGCGCCGGAAGTTATTGACAATGAAAAGTATACATTCTCACCGGATTGGTTTAGTTTCGGTTGTCTTTTATATGAGATGATTGAGGGTCAGGCGCCGTTTCGGGCCCGTAAGGAGAAGGTTGCGCGCGAGGAAGTCGATCGACGTGTCAAGGAGGATCAGGAAAAATATTCGCATAAATTCACTGAGGAGGCAAAGAGTCTTTGTCAACAGCTCTTGAAAAAGAGTCCAAAAAATCGACTTGGCTGTAAATGCGGAAGACATGGGGCGAAGGAAGTGAAGCTTCATAGTTTTTTTCAGTGCTTGAATTGGAAAAGGGTCGAAGCCGGTATGTGGGAACCGCCGTTTGTGCCCGATGTGAGTTTGTGTTTGTGAAAAATAGATTTTTCCACTCGTTAAGTTCTTTACCTTTTATCTTCGCGTGGGTTTTTCACATTCTTTTTTTACGGACACTAAACACCTTTTCCTTCTTACCTAATTTTCTTCATTTTCCAAAAATTTCTAGTGATCATTTTATTTTTCATCAAATCAACTATAATTATTTATTTATTATTTATTTATTTATTTTACAGGGTTACCACAGGTCAGGGAATTTAGGGAAAAGTCAGGGATTTTTATTAAAAGTACTGGAAAAAATTTAATTTTTAGAATTCATAAGAAAATTCTCAATTTTTTTGATATTAATTTCTTTTTAAAGAACTTAAGTTCTTGTAGTGAAGAACTATTGCAAAATTAATACTTAAATAAATTATTTAATGAATAATTTTACTTAAATATATTTCAAAATTAATTCAATATCGGCAAACGAAACTAAAGTGGAATAGACTTTTGTTTCGTTACCGAATAAAAATCAAAATACATTGATAATTTCGTTTTGTTTTCAAATATCGTAACGAAATCAAAATTTTATTTCCGTGACGGTCCCTAAATAATAAAATTTTTCGTCGAAATTCAATTCTTATCAAAAAATTTAATAAAATTCTTGGAAAAATTTGAATTAATTCCAAAAATTTTCCTCAATAGAATGATTTTCAATACCTAATATTTCAAAAAAATTTCCCAAAAGAATTCAATTACCGTCAACCGGGGCTATTTTGTGCACCAAATAGCTTTTTTTTTATTCAAAGATTTATTTAAATTCAGAATTAAGAGAATAAAAAAAATCAACTTTTGATATATGTTGTGGACATCCTTTTGAAGGTTTCCTATAAATTTTGCAAAGAAAAAAATTTTTTTGTCTTAGTTATAGTCATTGAAAGTCGTGAACACAATAACTCCCGGGATGGGGCTATTTTGTGCATCGAACTTTGTTTTTCTATAATGTTGCGTAAACAATTTTTTTAATTGTTTCTGCTTCATGAAATCTTTTGTGTATATATTTGAGAGTAAATTAAAAAAAGAATGACCTAGTAAAATTTTTTTTGTAGATATATTATACAAAAAATGTAAAATAAAGCACTAAAATTTTGCTAAAATCTGGATTTACTAAAAATTAACAATCTTTTTTTAAATTGTATATTACACAGATAGTAAATAAAATTTTTTTCTTTTTTAATATATATTTTATAATAATATACTAATATAATTATAAAATGATCGTTTAAACACTTATAAATAACTTTAAAACATCATTTCAATAGGAGCTTTTTTAATGGTTTTGAATGATATTTTTAAAAAACTTGAAATAAATATTTTTAAGGTTAAATAGATAACAATTTAATATCTAATATGATTTTCAAGTTATTTTAAGAGAAACGAGAAAATAGTTTTAAAACTAATTTGAAAAACTTATAAATATTAATTAATGTTCATTTTTTGAGGTTACGTTGTGCACCGGTAGAGCTTTTAATCGTTTTAATGATTTTAATTAACGTATTTACAGTTTTTTGACAGAAAAGTAAGACAAAAATGTATAAAAATGATAAACAGAATCTTCTTTACTTACTAAATAAAATATTTATGAAAAATATTTGATTTTTTTAAGTGCACAAAATAGCCCCATGGAATCCTGGTTTTTCAGTTTTTTACACTTTTCTCTTAAAATAATGAATAAAAAGTTAGCGCATTACGTATGTATCATCACAACACAATTGAAAACAAATATCTAACACAGTTTATGAGACACATTAAAACTCTAGAAGATCTGGTATAATTTTTCCGAACTTTCAAAATTTTTTAAACAAATTTTCCGTTTTTAGGAATTTTTTTCTCTTAATTGCCAAAGAATTAAATAATAACATTTAGTGCTCTCTATTGTCATGTAATCAAACTTTCATTTTACAAAATAGCAGATTAAAATAATTCATTTTAATAATTTTTTCCATTAAAAAACTCGCGTGCACAAAATAGCCCCCGGATGCACAAAATAGCCCCAGTTGACGGTACTTAAAAAAAGTTTAATAAAACATAATAATTTTCATAAATAATAACAATTTCTCAGAAATTCAATTATTTATAAATTTTTTATAAATTTCTTCGCAATAATTGAATTATTTTCTAAAATAATAAAATAGAATTTTTGAGAAGTTACAATTCTTCGAAGGAATTCAATTATTATGATAAATGTTATAATTCTTCCCTGAAATTTCAATTATTTTCAAAAATTTTCCTTAATTCAATGATTTTCAATATCTACTATTTTAATCAAATTTTCCAATAGAATTCAATTATTTCAAAAAAATGTTAATAAAATTCTACCCAAACATTTAATTATTTTCATAAATAATAAAAATTTCATAGGAATTCAATTATTTACAAATTTTTTCACAATAATTCAATTATTTTCATAAATTATAAAACTCATTGCAGAATTTTAATTATTTTTAAAACAAATTTAATCGAATTCCACGAAAAACATAATTATTCTTATAAAAATTTTATTAAAATTCGTGAAAAGAATTTAACTATTTAAAAATTTGTTTCTAAAATTTTTTATGATAATTTAATTTTAAGAAACAATAAATTATTTAATAACTTATTTATTTTTGTATTTAAATAATTGAATTTTCGTAGAATTTTCTAATAAAAATTGATTTAAAAATTAATTTCAGTTAAAATTTTAGATAATAATTGAATATTAAAAGCATTGTAGCGTAAATTTTTATAAATATAATTAAATTTAAAAATTGTTTCAAATTAAAATCTTTGAAAATCTGAATTTTTCATGCTTTTAACTTATTTTTTGAAAAATTTTGATTCCAATTCTTTTGAAATTTCTTGATGTTTTTATTTTCTAATATATATTTAATTGAAGAATTTTCGAATAATTTTGTAAAATTGAATTGTGAACAAATGGATTTGAAAATGCTTAAAAAACTTTTTAAAAAATTATTAAAAATAATTAATTTAATAAGAATTTTAGTTAAAAATTATAGAAAAAAATAATTGAATTGAAAATAATTTTGCAGAAGTTACAATAGCAATATTCTTATAATATGAAATAGTGATTTTATCATTTTGGTCATCTTTAATTATTATAAAATATGAAGATACCGATTGCTCCGAGTGATCGATATCTTCATGTTTTATAATCATATTTTCTTATTTGAATTTAAATAGGGTTTGAATTTGAAAATCTTAATTCCTATGGAATTAATTTTTTTTCAGTACCTAATTATTTTTAGAGAGAGTCAGAATATTCTTTAGGATCAGGGAAAAAGTCAAAATTTTGCCTGTAAATCAGGGAAAAGTCAGGGAAGAACAAAATTAAATTTTTGTGGCAACCCTGTTATAAACTAAAGTACCTATAGAAAAAAAATTATGTATATTTTTAAATTTTCTTATTTATGTTTATAAGTTTTTTTAAAACTATTTTTATAAATTTTTATCAAATTATTAAACTGTTTTTATTTATATTTAACCTTTACATACTTTTATTTTTGTTTCTAAATTTTCAATTTATCATTTCTATTATTTATTTTGTAATCTTTATAAAATAAATTTGTCCATAACTTTGTTAAAAATAAATAAATAAATACCAATTGTAAACTAAACGAATAAAACAAATTTTAACTAATTTAATTATTGCGAACAAGCGAGTGACGTATTGGTTTTTTTATTCTAGCCACATGCAATTTACGCTAAGGATGTTTTGGACATTGAGCAGTTCTCGACAGTAAAGGGTATCAATTTGGACGCGACGGATGATACATTTTACAGCAAGTTCAATACCGGAAGTGTATCTATTCCCTGGCAAAATGAGGTGAGGTACTTTTTTTGAAATAAAAAGAAGAGAGAGATGGAGAATTTAATCGTAGCTGCTCTGACAGTTTTAATGGATTTGACCTACATAAAAAAAATTCCTGACCTCTCAACGAGAATTACAAAGTTACTTATCATTTTAAATGTAACATCATGTCATGTCACATTCAATTTATTTACTACGATAAATTTTTTTCTTCTCTATCTCTCTCTTTCACTCTTCTCGGAGAAAGACTTGAAAACATTTTTACAAAATTCTTCTTGACAAGCATAATTTATTCAAAAAATTATTTATTACTCCGTTGCAATTTTTCGACAAATTTTAGATATTTAAAATAAAATTAGTTTTTTTTTTTTTCTATTTATTTATTTATATGCACTGTCACAAACAATTATGATTGTAATTATTGCTTTTAGTTTATTGAACAAGTTAATGAGGCAAGCCTTTTCGTATACAATATTTCGCATCCTAATTAAAATTAATGTAATAACTGTAATAATTAATGTTTGGATAATTTTAAAAATTTAATTTTAATTTTTTTTTTATAAATTTATATTATTTACTAGCAAATTAATTACGAGCTTATTAACTAATTAGTATTATTTTCAAAAATTTTAATAAAATTCTTCGAAAGATTTCAATTATTTTCATTAGATACAATTTTAATAAAGTTTCTCGAAGGAATTCAATTGTTTTCAAAAATTTTTGTAAAATATTCTTCATGAGAATCAAAAAAGTTAAATAAATAATAATAAAATTTTTCGCAAAAATTCAATTTATTTTCAGTAGGATTTTGATAAAATTAATGAAAAGTATTCAAGTTTTTTTTTAAATCTTTAATCAAAAATAATAAAATTCTTGCTCGAAATTCAATTATTTCCTATAAAATTTTATTAAAATTTCTCGAATCAATTGGATAATTTTTAATAACTATTTTTTCAAATTGATTTAATTATTTTCAAACATTTTTATAATATTCCTTATACACCCATAAAAACAATATTTTAATTTATAGAAATCAATGTTTTAGACCCATTTTTTTCATGCAAAATGAATTTTTCTTTCAAATAAAAAGAGGATTTTTGATTCAAAAAATATTTCTTTGATTTAAAAAAATTTTTATAAACAATTGTAATTATATTAAAGGAAGAAGTTAACAATCTCTCCGAATTATTTTTCACTTAAAGTTTCTTTTTGATTCCTTTAATATAATTAATACCGAATGATAAATTCCTTTCCTATAATTATAATTATAATTTCTATATTGTAATTGATTTTTGGATAAAATTAATTCAATATTTACTCTGTATAAATATGAATTTTATTTTAATAAATAAATAAATATAATATTTACATTACTAGCTAAACTATCCGCGCGCAAGCGCGCGGGAATGTTGTATCAAACTGCTTATTTTAAACAATTATTAAACTTCATTTTATTTAAAAAAATGTTCAAAGAAATAATTATTATTACCTAACAAAAAGTTTGAAATAATTAAAAGTGGAAAAAGTTAACAATTATAGAGAATTAAATTTTCATTTTATATTATTTTGAAACTTTAAAGTTTACAAAAAAAATTTAACAACTTCGAACTTCTAATTTTTTTTTTAAATTCAAATACTTTCACTTAATGGTCTCAATTTAAATAGAATTTTCATTACTGGACCTGAACTATGGCTAGAACAATTCCAATTAGTATCTGGGTCATAAAAATTAATTTAATTCACAATTAATAAAAAAATAGCCACAGCCGGTAATCAGCAGGAGGTGAAAAATTATTTTTTGAGCAAATTTTATCTTTTACATTGCTTATTTTAAACAATATAAAGACATTTTAATTTAAATATAGTTTTTAAAGAAATAATAATTATTACACACTGAAAAAAGCTTTACTTGAAACAGCGATATGTTTCTCTAGAATAGCGAAAGTATTATAATTGAAGCACTGAAAAATTTCACTAATAAAGTGAAATCTGTAGTATATCCAGGTAAATATTTTTTGTCGTACATAACGAAAAAAGAATTAAATTAACATCAGATTTTCTAAATTCAAAATAACGAATTCAACATAGAAATTAATCATTTTAGAACTTTACCAAATTCACCCCAGAAATCACTGAATCCCATAAATTAGAAGAAAGTCAGACAAATGGAAGTTCTATTTTGAATTTCTAAATTTTAATGTCAAATTTAACGCATTAGAAACGATTTTTAAGTGCATCCTATAAATTTTGTAAACAAAAAAATTACTTTTGTTAAACTTTCATGTTGTACGAAGAAAATTGAATCTCGCAAAAATTGTTACATATTTTATACTTTTATTTTCAAAATAATTTTGATTACAAAAATTTTAATTATTCCAAAAATTAAAAAAATAATTATTTATTTAGCTTTTTAAACAAAAAATTCCGTTTCTTTTGAAACTACCATAACTGCAAAAAATTAAATTAATTAAAAAATGATAAAGTTAAGCAACCTTTAATTCTAATTTCTTTGGAAAACAAAATATCTATAGTATAAATACTAACTATAACTTGCAACTGCTTGCAATAATTATTTAATTACAAGATGTAATATAATATTATAATGAAGCATAAAAAAAATATTCTAAATTCATTTTTAGAAACAAAGAAAAAAAAATTTCAGATAAATTTTAGGCGTATGATAGCCCCTAAATTTTAATTCTATATATTGGTTGTTTAATTGAATTTTTAACTTTATAATTATTATTTACTCGGCAGGTATATGTCCATAATTTAATGTTAACATTATTTAAATATTGGGAATAGATATTTGATGTAATATATTTTTAATTGAAAAAATTGACAATATATTTTCATTGATTTTTTTAATATTCTATAAATCACGTATTAATTAAAAACATAATATGAAAATTAAGACTTGTTAAAAGTTTATAAAATAAACAAGATATTAGACAATATTTTTATGTAATAAAAAATATAAAAATAAAACTTGTATTAAATTACTATTTTATAAAATATACTTTGATAATTTAAATGTATGTTGTAGTCTTTAATAATATAGTAATTATTTTAAATTATTATGAAAATATGTAATTAATAATTTTAAATTATGAAAAATGAATATTATATTTTTAACAATTACATTATTTAGAGTTTTGCAAGTTAAAAAATTATTAAAAAGTTAAAAAACTAAATATTCTAAATTAAGAAATTTAAATAACTTTTTTCAATATATTAAAATAATGTTAACATTAAATTATAGAAAAGTATTTACCTTTAGAGTAAATGATAGTTGTAAAGCTAAAAATTGAATCAAACACAATAACAGTACTGCCAGATGATTAAAACGATAAATCTTCAGAATTTTCATATTTATCTTCAGAAATCTTTAAATTACAGGATTCCTACAGAAATCCGAATTTAAAATTCCATACCTTTTCCATGATTTCCAGGTCAAATTTTTACGAAATTACAGTGGAATTTTAAATCTAATTTCACTATTTTTGGGCTCTTTTAAAACACTTTACTTATTTAATAGTCTCCACCCTTTGGTAAAAATTCTAAAATTATCAAAATTTATCAAAAATTCGAAAAACCGATTTTTTTAAAATTCAACATTTCTTCTTCTCTTTTATGGGATTTAGCTTCATTATTTTTGGGCTCTTTACAAACACTTTACTTATGAAATAATCTCGACTCTTTGGTAAAAAATTTGCAAAACCGAATTTCTTAAAATTCAACATTTTTTCCTCTCTTTTATGGGATTCAGCTTCATTATTTTTGGGCTCTTGGAAAATACTTTACTTATTAAATTGTCTCGAATCATTGGTAAAAAATCTAAAATTATCAAAAATTATCAAAAATTCAAAAATCCGAATTTCTTAAAATTCAACATTTTTTCCTCTCTTTTATGGAATTTAACTTCATTATTTTTGTGCTTTTGGAAAATACTTTACTTTTTAAATAGTCTCGACTCTTTGGTAAAAATCTAAAATTATCGAAAATTATCAAATAAATTAAAAAATCCGAATTTCTTAAAATTCAACATTTTTTCCTCTCTTTTATGGCATTTAAATTCAATATTTTTGTGCTCTTGGAAAATACTTTACTTATTTAATAGTCTCGACTCTGTGCTAAAAAATCAAAAGTTATTAAAAATTATCAAAAATCCGAAAAATCGAATTTCTTAAAATTTAACATTTTTTCTTCTCTTTTATGCCATTTAGCTTTATTATTATTTGAATTTCTATTCAAGAGAAAAAATGAAAAACAGAAAAAATTTAGAAAATTTTAAAAATTTCAGGCCTTTTCCATGATTTCCCTGATTTCCAGAAGCTTTTAGAAATTCCATACCATTTCCATGATTTCCATGATTTCCAGATTCTGTAGGAACCCTGATAATTAGTCAAAAAACTTTCTTCAGATTTTGGTTATAATTTTTTCTAGAATATGATAAATGAAATTAAATTTCACAAAGAATTATAAAGAAATAAATTAATATTGCTGTGTTTGAATCTGTTCGCAATTTGAAAGTAAAAGTTTTCAATGTTTTTAATTTTAAAAATTAATGCACTGAAAATGACTAAATTCTTGCAAAGTTTTTATTGAAAAATTTGGAAATAATTAGTCATTTGATTTTTATAAAAAATTTTTTTAAAATAATTTAATTCTTTCGAAAACTGTTATTAACATTTTTGAAAATAATAAACAAGAATAGTTAATTATGTAGTTAATCTGAAATTAAAAAATTAATGTTTATATTTGAAAATATAACATTTTTTGATTTGCAAAATAGTAAATGGAGCAGTAACAATTACTTTAGTAATTAATAATTATTACATTTATTATTATAATCATAAAAACTTAAAGAACAAAAATTATAATTTATCTTTAAAAAATGGTTTATTTATATTATTTAAATGTTTATAAATATTTTCATTATTACTTGATATATACACAGCCTTCACAAAATTTTCAAACAATCTTCAAGTTTTTACTATATTTCTTCCAATCTGTCAGCACTGCACAATAATAACATAAACATTGAAAAATTTGCCATTTAAAAATATAAAAAATGCTAATACTTAACCCACAAAAATTAATTTTCAAAATAAACAAATGAATGCAGATAATTTACTAACGGAAAGGAAACTTACGTATAAAAAACAAAAAAATAACCATAACTAACTTCAAGTGTGGACAGAGATCCGGAAATCTGGAATCACGACGATTATTATATATAATAATCATTTTTTGGAGAAAATTCGTTTAATCTTTAATCTTTTAAATATAAATTTTATTTCTGTAATGAACTGTGATTGTGATTATGCTACGTGATCTCGTCCTCTAGATCAATTGTAGTAACGCTAGTTGCTTGATCCTTATCACAATTATTTTAAAGCTCGCGCCATTTCTCATCTCTAGAGGGCGTCCCGTCGAGTGCGTCGCTTTATCGCCATTACGCTTTTTTGTGCGATCCTTCACACACGTTCGCGAGTGAAAATCTAACAAATTCAAGAGTTTAAACAATGAGTCGTGATAAAAAGAAATCAAAAAGATCAAAAAAGTCTCGGAAGAGTAAAAAGGAATCCAAAATAGATAAGTATTACAAGAAAATAGACCGTCTACAGAGCAAAGAGAAAAAGAAAAAATCACATTCAGAACACAAAGGTTCTAAGCATTCTTACGGCAAAAATGACGACGAGCGTGACCTGCGAGGCGCGTCACGTCATAGTCGTGACCGTTCACAGTCTATATCAATTAGTAATAGAACGAAAGAAAATTCAAATAAACGATCAAGAGACGACAACGTTGGCGGCGAGCGTAACCTGCGAGGCGCGTCACGCCACAGTCGTGACAGTTCACGGTCCTCATCAATTGATAAAAGAATGAAACAAAGTTCAAGAGACGACTATAGTGGCGACGAGCGTGACCTGCGAGGCACGTCACGCCATAGTCGGTCCACATCAAATAATAGAAACGAAGAAAATTCAAACAAAAGATCAAGAGATGACAATAATGGCGGTGAGCGTGACCTGCGAGGCGCGTCACGCCATAGTCGTCGTCGATATCGTTCTCCTTCCTCCTCGTCTTCGTCATCATCCTCCTCGTCCTCATCATCGTCCTCGTCATCAGAATCATCGTACAGTAGCTCAAGCTCAAGTCAAGCGTCACGAAAACGACGCAGATCCCGTTCACATGAACGTACAAACTCTTCCGAACACACACGAAAACGACTCAGATCTCTATCACCTGAAAACACGAACACTTCCGAAAGTACACGAAAAGAGTCGGAAATAGAAAATCCGCCTTTAGACATTGACACCTTAAATCTTCTGGGAGATATAAATGAAAATAATCAACCCGGCCCAGATCTCAATCTCAAATTAACTGAGGTTTGGCAAAAAATCTTAGCTAAAGGTCTTCCCAAGGAGACAAAAAAGGAACTTATTACGAAGTACCCGACTGCCAATAACCTCAAAACGTTAAAGGCTGTGACAGTCAATGCCGAAATAAAATCTGCAATGAAAGATATACCTCTGAAAAAGGATAATTACCAAGTGCTTTCTCAAAATCAATTAAGCGCTGCCACGACAGCACTTGGAATGGCTTTGACTTTAGTACTGGAAAAACCACTGACCGAAATTGACGCATCTCTCCTGATTAGTCTCATGGCAGATGCAGGTAGATTATTTACCGACTTACACTACGGGCAGTCAATGACTCGCCGATCATTCATCACTCCTGGAATGAGCTTGCTTGTGAGAAAAGTAGCGGAAGATTGCGAAGTAGATACTCTGCTTTATGGTGAAAAATTTACAGAAAAACTTATGGCGGCAAAATCTGCAGAAAAGTCCAGCAGGGAACTTGTAAAGCAGCCAACGAAAACAACTAGTGACAATTACAAGAAAAGGATATTTCAAAAGGGACCAAATACAAGGCCTTTAAACTTCAAGGGTCCCCCCAAAAGGAGCACCAAGGAGACTCGCCAGGGAGGACAACAGAGATATCAACGGAATCGCCCATACGAGAAATCTCGTCAATAAGTCAAGTAAGTATTATCGCAGGGAGACTAAGACTGTTCGTCTCGAATTGGGTAAAACTGACATCTGACCCCTTAATTTTGCAATATGTCACAGGTTATGAAATTCCTTTCATATCCAAACCTCAACAAGTCGACACTCCCATGGAGCAATCGTATTCGGCACAAGAGGAAATAGAGTACAATAAAGCAATTGAAAAATTAATTAAAAAAGGGGCGGTGTCAATATGTTTACCTGTCAAAAATCAATTTTTATCCAGATATTTTCTAGCTGAAAAGTCTAGCGGAGAAAAAAGATTTATTCTAAATTTAAAAAATTTAAACAAATTTCTCGACCCTCTTCACTTTAAGCTAGAGGATAGAAAAACTGTTGCGAGAATCTTATTTGACGGAGCTTTCATGGCAACTCTAGATCTAACAGATGCCTTTTTATTAATTCCGGTAGCCACCCCGTATAAAAAATATTTAAGATTTATGTTTAAAGGCAACTATTATGAATTTAATTGCGTGCCTTTCGGGCTATGCACGGCCCCTTTCATATTCACAAAACTTATGAAACCGGTGGTAGAAAATTTAAGATCGCGTTCACTCTTATCAGTCGTATATTTAGACGACTTTTTGCTAATGGGTAAAACAAAAGAGGAATGCCTCAAAAATATTGAAGTGACTCGAGAATTATTACAAAACTTAGGATTTATTGTAAACTTAGAGAAATCTAATATTATTCCGTCGAAAAATGTAAAATACTTAGGATTTAATTGGGACACGCGAAAAATGATAATTGAATTAACCACGAAAAAGAAAGAAACTATTTATAAAAAAGCAAAAGAATTTTATCTTAAGAAAAATTGTAAAATTCGGGAATTAGCACAATTTTTGGGTTCATTAATAGCATCGTGTCCTGCTGTAAAGTACGGTACCCTATACACAAAAAGTTTAGAGAGAGAAAAGTATTTATCGCTGATTAAAGTAAACGGAAATTTCGAAAGTAAAATGAACCTCCCCGAAACTTTGTTGCCTGACTTAAAATGGTGGATTGACAATATATTCGTAGCTAATTACCCTATTAAAACTTCCGAATTCTCACTCGAAATTTTTTCTGACGCATCCTTAACCGGATGGGGTGCAGTCGCCAAGGATGATCGAACACACGGTTGGTGGACTGCTGATCAATGCAAACACCATATTAATTATCTAGAACTTTTAGCTGCATTTTATGGATTAAAATGTTTTGCTAAGGATCTACGTTCTCAAAATATCATACTGCGAATCGATAACACCACTGCAATCTCATACATAAACAAAATGGGTAGCGTTCAATACCCTAAACTCAGTAGTTTATGTAAGCAGATTTGGCAGTGGTGTGAGAAACGCAAACTATGGATTTTCGCGTCTTATATTGCATCACGCGAAAATTTAATAGCCGACAAAGAATCGCGAATTTTACCAAAGGAAACGGAATGGGAGCTAGCTCCATACGCGTTCAAAAAACTCGAAAGTACCTTTGGTAAATTTAATATAGATTTATTCGCTTCTAGTTCTAACAATAAATGTGAGAAATTTATTTCCTGGAAACAGGACCCGAACTCCTGTGCAGTCGATGCTTTTACAGTAAAATGGAATGAATATAAATTTTACGCATTTCCGCCGTTCTCAGTTATACTTCGTAGTTTACAAAAAATAATAATCGACAAGTCAGAGGGAGTACTAGTTGTACCTTATTGGCCGACACAGTCTTGGTTTCCGCTGTATAACTCAATGTTAATAAGTGAACCCATCTATTTTGAACCAGATGCTAATCTACTCGTTTCTTCTTTTAGAGAGACACACCCGTTAGCGGAACAGCTTACCCTGGTAGCAGGGCTTTTATCAGGCAAGCATTTCATCAACACGGATACCCGGAGGAATCAATATCAGTAGCTTTACTTTCCCTATCAGAAGGAACAATAAGGCAGTACAATAAACCACTCAGACTCTGGTGGGAACACTGCAACAAAGAGAACGTATCAATGTTCGACGCTTCCGTTCAAGAAGTACTCGGTTTCCTATCAAAAATGTCAGAATCTGTAAACACCTATGGGACACTAAACACATACCGATCTGCAATTTCACTAATCTCGAATCACGAACTAGGCGATAATCCAGCTATAAAACGTTTCTTCAAGGGTTTTTCGGTGATGAAACCACCAAGTGCAAAATACCAGGACACTTGGGATCCGGATATAGTTCTTCGATATCTCGTAGAACTTGGACCAAACACAGAATTAAAACTAAAAGATCTCTCAATGAAATTGGTAACTCTCATCGCCTTAGCTACAGCCCAACGTCTTCAAACAATATGCAAAATAAAACTGGAAAATATTAAAACATATGAAAAAGAAATAAAGATCTACATCCCAGACAGAATAAAAACTTCCAAATTGGGGAAAACTCAACCAGTGTTACTTTTCCCTTTCCTCAATGATCAACCGGAACTCTGCGTTGCGACTCTGTTACAAATTTATATGGAGAAAACCAAGGACATCAGGCCGAAAGAAGCGAACTCACTGATTTTGACCTATAAAAAACCTTACCATCCAGCGGGAACGCAAACGATCAGTCGCTGGGTAAAGGACATTATGGAGAAAAGTGGCATCGATACATTATCTTACTCTGGATACAGCGTAAAACACGCTTCTGTTTCGTCTGCAAAAAGAAAGGGAGTAAACGTTGAAGTAATTAGACAGACTGCAGGCTGGTCTGAAAAATCCAATACCTTCGGGAAATTCTATAACCGCCCTTTGCGCGATACTGAAAATAATTTTTTAAGTTCTGTTCTTAACATTTCAAAATAAATCTTTGTCATACTTTCGATGTAACCTCTATTGTTAAATTTGCAATATAAACAATTGCACTCCAATTCAAATCGCCTTCTATCTTTAAACAACTACAATTGATCTAGAGGACGAGATCACGTAGCATAATTCAACGATTAAACAAACTTACCTGTAAGTGATGTTCAATCGAGATTATGCAAGTAGATCTCGTCCGAATAGATCACTCCCACCCTCCCCAAGATACCCTTAGCGATTTGAAAAATTAAGCGTAATGGCGATAAAGCGACGCACTCGACGGGACGCCCTCTAGAGATGAGAAATGGCGCGAGCTTTAAAATAATTGTGATAAGGATCAAGCAACTAGCGTTACTACAATTGATCTATTCGGACGAGATCTACTTGCATAATCTCGATTGAACATCACTTACAGGTAAGTTTGTTTAATCGTTGAATTTTTCTCTATTATAATATCATAAGTATTATATATCTCAATTAAATAATTTTCTGACAATTATTTTTTGTTTAGTTTTTTGGATAATTTTCTCTTTGATAATAATTTTACAAGCAGAAAAAATGCACGTAAATAAAAAAGGTGATGAAAACTAGAAGTCGTATAACTTTCGAAGAAGTTAAACAAATTTTATCCTCTGTTGAATAAAAAAGATGCAGGTCTCTCGTTTGAGTATCGTGAAGCGCTTGCCTTTGATTTCTGATAGGAATTTAAGAAGTTTCAAACGACGAATAAAGTCAATCTTTTTTTTTCTTCTTATTTTCTTTTTTTATAAAACCCTATCCACTTGCCGTGTGTAATGTGGTTGCATAATTCTTAATTTTTTTTCTCATCTTTTTTTCAGATGATAGAGACGGAGTGTTTCAAGGAACTTAACGTACTTGGTTTAAACAATGCACCCACTCTTGATTTACTGATAAACCATTCTCCACCCAATAATGAGAATAGAGGCTGCTTCCCCTTTAGGAGAAAGGTAATTAAAACTTTTGAAAATGATTTTCTTCGCCACACCTTTCATCAAACTCTTAGTTACTCACATCAAATGCAATTTAAACGGAAAATTGAATTTGGAAAAAAAGAACTTTTTATGCATGGCAAAATTTCTCTCTGATAAATTGTGATTATAATAATGAAGAAAAAGGAAAGAGAAAAAAATGCTAAACGAGAAATATTTTCAAAGTTGAGAAGATATTTTCATATTTTATAATATTTATTTCTTTATTTCTTTAATCTGATAAATTTTTTTTTATTCTGCTTTTTGAAATTCTACTAAATGAAAATTTGCTTCAATAAAAATATTGTCTTTTCTAAGAATTTGAATAGACAAAAATGATAAAAATTCTAATAGATAGAAATTTCCTTTCCATGAACATTCATTTCAATAAAATTTCTACTAAAAGAAAATTCACTTGATTAAAAAATTGTTTATAAGAAAAATTTATAAATAAAAATTGTTTAAAATATTCGAATAATTAGAAAATCATTTAAATAAAATTTCTATTTCATGAAAATTCTGTTTAATATTAATTCTACCAACTGAAAATTTTATTAATTATAAATTGTACTAAATGAAAATTACCTGATAGGTATTATTTGTTCTATGTTCGAAGGTAATTAAATTTTTTACCAGAATTTCTATAGTGGTAATTAAATGCTGAATAGCTATTCCATTATATGTCACTCAATGTCCTTGCTGGCTATTTGTACTTTAATTTTAAAGTTGAAATGTTGAGAAAAGCTTATTTCAACAGTTGACAAAATTCAATTAAGTTAATTTACAATTTTCTTTAAATATGTAATTAATTTAACTGTAAATATTTATTCTATCTACTTTTTTTAGTTGGTAGGCTAATAATTCACATTATTTATCTTAATTTTACAATGAAAATAATTCAACATTTGAATTATTTTTCAGTAGAAATTGCATTTATTAATGTATAATAATTATAATTATAAATTAAAAATTATTAATATATAGATTTAATATTATTAATATAAATTTATAATTATTATTCTAAATTTAATATTACTAAAGTTAAAAACTTTATTAATAAAAATTATATACTTCTATTATCGAAAATTTGTTGCTTTATTGTATTCATATTTAATAGAATTTCTTTTCAAGCGAACTTTTATAGAACTGATTCTCTAGTTTAATAAATTTTCATTTGACATCATTTCCAATGAAGAGAAATTAATTGGATGGAATTATTTACTATTTATTGAGAATATGGTATCTTTTTTTTAATATCACAATTTTTATCTATCCGAATGTTCATATCGAAAACATTTTTAATAGAATTTTTATCGAATCGGATGCAATTTATTTTATTAAACCTTTTTTTTCTTTTTTTAATTCTTAATAAGTTGAAAGCCAAATAAAAAAAGAATTATTGAAATATTTTTTAATAAATTATTAAAAAATTGTAATAAAATCTTTTTATTAAATTTTTAATTTAATATTATTATTTGCAATAGCAATTGTAGAAATTAAATTATATTTACTACAATTTTCATAAATTTTCTCGAAAAAATTTAATTATTTTCAAAAAATTCCAATAACAATTTCATTTTGTAATTTCAAATCAATTTAATAACAATTTTGAAACAAAAGTCAATTATTTTTATAAATACATAGTAAAGTTCTTTGCAGGACTTCATTTATTTTCAATTCAATTTTCATAAAATTAATCAAAATAATTCAATTATTTTTAAAAATTATGAAAAAATTCTTTATAAGAATTAAATTATTTTTAAATCGATTAAAATAACATTTTTGGGAAGAATGCAATTATTCTAAAAAGTTAAAAGAATACTTCGCAGAAACTGAATTATTTTCAATACAATTTTAATTAAATTACTCATAAATAGTAAAATTTTTTGCAGGATTTCATTTGTTTTCACTGCAATTTTCATAAATTTTCTCTAAAGAATTTAATTATTGTCAAAAATTTTAACAAAATTCTTTATACGAATTCAATTACTTGTGAAGAATTCAAATATTGTTAAAAATTTTGATAAATTTCTTTAGAACAATTAAATTTTTTTCAATGCAATTTTAATAATTTTTTCAAAAAATTTAATATTTTTTTAAAAATTTTAATAAAGTTTTTTAAAATAATTTAATATGATCAAAAATTTTTATAAACTTCTATGCAAGAATTAAATTATTTCAGTTTTATAATAATAAAAGTTCCAGGAATGATAAAATTTTGTTAACAAAAATGTTATTTCTTAAAATTAAAAAAAAATTCACCACAAAATTATAGAAAATAAAATAATTTTTGAATTTTTCTTGCAAAAATAGTGTCAAAAAACTTATTCTATAAATCTGAATTGTAAAAAATTTGGACTATTGAGCATAGAAATTATATGGCATTTCTAAAAATTATTTTTATAATTCTACATAGAACGAGACATTAAAGTAAATAAGGTGCAATTTTTCTTATAGAATAAATAACATTTATTTTTGATTAATAAAGAGTAGTTTTTCTACAATAATTTATAAGTACCTAACTATTTAGAATTTAATGTTAAAGAATGTTTTAGAATGTTAAAATAAATTTACAAATTAAATTATGATTTTTAATTAAAAACAATATTTGTTATTATTAAAGTTTAAAAACATTTAATAAGAAAAGTTATAAAAAAATTAGGAAACAAAAATGCAAAAAAAACAACTAACTTCCAAATGCGAACAGATTTCTGAAAAAAAAGATTATTAATATAAGAAAGAAGAGTTTCTTTTTTTAATTTTGAATAAATTGAAGGTCAAGTTAAAAAACATAATTTTTAAAATAATTTACTGAAAACTGCCAAATAAATCTTTTTATTTAATTTTATTATTAATATCCTAGGTAAATAAATAAATTACATAAAATAAATACGTGATATGAATTTTATTTTATAGCAATTATTTTTTTCATAAAGAATAAATTTAATGAATTATTTTGAAAAAATTACGTAGAAATGAATTGACAAATGTTAATAAAATTTTGCAATTTTTTTTCCTTAGAAGAAACAGAGTGCACGCACAAGACAGATGCCAATAATGGAGCCCTATTTACTAGAATGGTTAGAGAATCTGCATTGTGAAATGCCTGCCAGCTGATCCAGAATGGAATCTGGAATTTTAAGCACATCGACAATGACGATGCATCGTTCGGGAATAATTCGTCGTTTTATCGCAATAATACAACGATATTTTCGCGAGAGCACACAGCAAGTGATGGACGATCCATACGATATGTACTGTATGTCGTCTACAATTTAGACAATTGTTTGGGACTGAGATGGGATATTCGTCTCAAGTTGAACGACATTTTTTTGGGGCAAAGGCAACTTAATTATTATTCAATTTCATCAAATGCGAGATTCTTATTTTTCCCTCATTTTCTCTATGAGAATTATTTTCATTCTCCACGTCTTATATTTCTATTTTTCCGGTGAAAGTTCAAGTTTAATGCGAATGAGAAAAGTTTTTATTTCCTTTTTTTTCGGGGGGAATTTTTTTAAAAATATTTTTATCATTATCCAAAGAGTCTTTGTGTTTTTTTTTCTTCAAAATTTCTATTTTTCTAAAAAAAATTTTTTTGTTTTTTTGGAGAGAGAGAGACCTTTTTTCTTTTTTTCTTGAAATCAAGGTGGAAATTCCTTGAAATTCTAATCCGTTGGGTTTAATGCTATACTCAATGAAATCAAAGATCTGAGCACAAAATAGTCATTTTGCCGAAAGAAGATCGGCGTTAATGAAACGAAGTTTAGTCCTAGGGTTTATTTTAATTTTTTTTTTTTTAGTGAGGAAATACATTTTTATTAGGCAATCGTACCTAGATCATTTGCATACGCTTAGTTAGGGACTAGAATCATTGTAACAGTACTTTCCGCGAAAAGACAAAAGAGACAAAAAAAACTTGAGTCGTGTGGTTAAGGGGGAGAAATTAATAAAATATATTGGACTGAAAAAGTTCCTATTTCTTTTTTTTGCACAAAAAAATATCGGCATTTTGATAAAGAAAAAATTTCGGAAATAGAAAATACAAAATTTTGTCACAATCCTTTGAAATACGAAATAGCACAAATGGTACAATTTTGTATGAATTGGCAGGATATGTATTCATACAGTTTTCCTTTTTAAAGCGTATTTTCGTGATATTTTTTTAAGAAAGAATATTTTTAACGTGCTTATTTTTTTTAAATTGAAAACAAATACTTTTTATTCTCATACTCTTGTATTGTTGATGAAACTTTTTTGATAAAAACATGGTTTTACATTTTACAAAAGAAATATTCAATGATATTTTTTTGTTTTTAAATAAGTACCTTAAGACAATGAAGGGGATTTTTTATATACCGATTTTAATTTTTAGAATTTACCGCAAGCTTTTCATGTCACTTCAGAGATTTTGTCAAAAGTTAATATCCACAGAAATTTTAAAACTACAAAAAGTTCTTTATTATTGAGAGGAAATAAATAGAATTTTCATCTTTTCTCAAATTATTAAATATGAAAATAGTTTCACTTCAATTGTAAAATTTTCTCTTTCCAAAAATTGATAATAATTTAATACAAATTGAAAAATTAAATTATGGTAGGTAAATGTGGGTATTATCGAGGAATTTTGTACACGTCATACATCCAAGTGGTTTAAAAATTATAAATAAATGTTTATGGCTTTGTTTTTTTTTAAATGAATATTTAAGCTTTCTTTTCTTTAAAAAAAAATTGCCAATGTTATAGAAAATAGTTTTAATCGTTAAATAAATGATTAAATAGAAGACTCCTTTGCTTGTAATTTCGCGGGACTTGTAATGGCTTGAGGGTATTTTCGCGTGTCAAATATCGCGGATGAGTGTATTATCGCGTGGTAAATATCGCGGATAATTTATTTATTGCTTTTTGGATTTTTGTAATAGTTACTTAATTATAATGTAGTAAATGTAAAAAATTAAAAGGAATAATAATATAGTTTTTAAAAATATAAATATAAATATCGCAAGAACTTGAATTAAAGAAAATTTTAAGCATTATAATAAATGGACGAATTCAATAGTAAACTAGTATCACAAGAAGAAAGATATATAATTAATTAGTTTTATTATAATAACTTAATTAGTCTCAGAATATAAAATAATACTCTGATAAAATATTCTAAAGCAATTATTATCAAATATTTCTAACGTATAGTCAATTCTCATTTGACACTTTTGCTCCTTTTTTATAGCTATTAAAATTTTTTTCCTTAAATATACAGATCTCACTTACTTTAATTTTTTTATCTTTTTCATTACTCTTTATTTTTTTGCTTGTATTTTGTAACTGTTATAAGATTTACTAAAATTCTGAACGTTCAAATAAACGAAATTTTTATTGTGTCTAAATGTGTTTAACAGTTACTGTGCAAAGTGGAGAAACAATGTTAATTCAACATTTATTTAGTTGAAAATTAATTTTTTGTTTATATACATACAAAGTACTTTTATTAAAATATAAATTAAAACAAGCAAAAATAATATCGGCTATAATTTTAACGTTTTAAACTTTAGAGACACACTGCTAACCTTACTTTCAAGGGTTATGATAGGAGCCGCGAAAATACCCACATGTTAAAAAAAAGATGTTTCCATTATCGTGACTGTAAATATTTAATAAAAATCAATTTTTTTTAACTAAACAAATTTTTTTTATGAAGAATAACAATAAATTTACCAAAATATAAAAAGAGAATCATCTCTTAGAGTTTTATAGAACATAAAAACAATAATTTTTGACACCACTGTAGAGTTGAATCTCAAACCAAGGTGAGCCATTTTGAACTTTTTTCAGACAACATATTTTAAAACATTTTTAATAAATTGATTAATAGAAAAATAATCAAAAATATGATGCATATTATAATGTCTTAGTTGTCAGGTTCAAGGAGTGATTTTTTAGTGTCAAAAATTTTTTATATTATTTGAAATATTCATTAAAATATAAAATACCGCGATAATACCCACACTCGCGACAATACCCACTTAAGAAAATAGAATCAACTCAAATTTCCTTTTAATAGAAAATATAATTTAAAATGCAGTTTTTGAATACAAACATTTTATACAATTTTTAATTTGTACTTCAATGACAGATGTAGTAAATATTTTTTATTTTAAATTTTATTGTAAAAGAACATTTTCACAAAAAAGTACAAATATTTTCAAATTATTTTCAAACATTTAACATTTGACAAAATCAAGAAATTCTTATGAAAAGACAAAATTTTCCAATTTTTCTACCTAAATTTTACATGAAATTTTTTAATTCAATTTTACATCAAAATTGACATTACAATTTACCAGAGAAAAAAAATTGAAAGTTGTAATCTATGAAATGCAGGATTCTTTTTTAAAACATTACTGAAAAAAATAAAAGACAAGAATCGATAAGAATTTTTTTACTTTGTAATCGACAAATTAAAATGGAAATGGGTGTGAAAATCTTGAGAGAGTTTATTTTTGAAGAAATAGAAAGTTTTATTTTATTTTATTTTTAATTTTTTTTTCAATTTTAAACGAAATTTTTATTTTTTTACGACCACTGTGGCCAATAAATGTTCACGAGTGTGATTTTTTTCAATTATCTCCGAAATCCGTGGCCAGTTTAAATATATATAAATATATATTTAATTGATAAAATACACATGTTCGATGCGAGAGACTCGTGTCTAGCGCGATATTTAATAATATTATTAATTAATTAATTAATTAAAATACACAAAGAATGAGAAGAGTGGCTGTTTCTACTCAAATTCGGCGCTCTTTTGCGCTATTCGCTCATTATTCGTACGATATAAATGTATTTCATGGGAAAATTTTATTTATTAGTGCGCAGAAAAATAAATCGATTTGAAACAAAATAATTTCCACAGAGAGTATTTGAAGAGATTTTCTTCTTCTTTAATTTTTCCAATATTAATTGATTTGTCAACAATATTTTTTTTTATATTTTATTCTAAGCAGTGGAGAATATATTCAAATTTCACTGAATAACATAGTTTCGAAAATAGCCCGCCAATTTGAAAAATTTAATATTCAAAAAAATTTGTTTCGCAATATGGAAAAAATTAACAAATATTCTGAATTTTTTCTATTTTCATTGTATATAATTTAATTATATATAATTCAATAAGTCAGAGAGATTGTAAATTAATTTTTACAACACGACAGGAAGTAAAATTAGAAAATTATACCTTCGTCACGTGACCCTTTAGCGGTAATTTTTTGTACTAATTTTGTAGTCTCGCTTTTATTTCCTACCGTGTTTTTCAATTTCTTAAACTTTATTGAAAAAAATCAGAATATTAGGTATTTATTTCAATTTTGCTAGTACATAATATTACTACAAGCCCTGGATTCAAAAAAATGCAAAATTTTCGACTTCTCTTTTAAGTATTGCAACAAAATAAATTATTTTTTAATAATTTTTTGAAGATCATTCAATTTTTTAAAAATATAATTAAAAAATTCTTAAATGAATGAAATTTTGTCAAATTTTATGAAAAATTGATTTTTTAAAAATATTTTATTAAAATTTTTCAATTTTGAAGAATTTTAATTGCAAATTTTGAAAGGAATTTAATTCTCAAAATTTTAATAAAATATCTTCAAATACAGATTAATGAAAATTAGCTTCAAAATATTTTTTAAGAAGTAATTTTCAAATTTTTTTTAAATTTATAAATATTTTCAATAACATTTTAACATGTTTCTAAAAATTCAGATATGCACACAAAATAATTATATTAAAATTTTTTAGAAAATATTTTTAAAATTGATTAAAATTTAAATACAAAATATTATTAAAATTTTTTTTTTTAATTTTTTGTTATAATTTTTTGAAATTTAATACTATTTTAAAAAAAGCATCTTTAAAAAAAGCAAGTTACAATTTTTAAAAAATCTACTTTTTCTGATTTCCCATTACAATTTTGGAGAAATAATGTTATACTAAGTTACAATTCTTTATAAAGCTGAATTTTTCTTTTTAAATAATTGAATTTTCAAAGAACTTTCTGAAAATTATTAAAAATAATTGATTTAAAGAAGAAGTTTAATTGAAAATTGTATCCTTTTTTGCGTCTTAAAATTGATCCGAAGTCTGTTATTATCAAAAAATAAAAAATTGTTTTAAAATTAAAAAATAAGTGAACTGGTGTGGCTATTTTTCAGACAAATTTGCGGAACTTGTGACTTTTGTGTCACGTGATTGCTATTAATGTTAATTTTTCGAGAGAATACGAGTGAATACTTTAGGGGAAATTCGATCGAAAAATTTAGCATCGCGTGACTTATAATTCACATGGTTTCTTTCAATTATTAGATCACAATCTCCAAACTAAAAATGCTTTTATATTTAAAAGAAGAAACAATGTAAAATTACTAAAATTATTAAAATTACTAAAAATTGCAATTACAAAAAAAATATTTAAAATATATGTTGAACGAATATTTAATAAGATTAGAAAAAAATAATTTGTTTAGATCAAGTTTATTCAATATAATAAAAAAGTACATTATTCATTATATTGATTTTTTTTAAATTTGTTATATTTTCTGCTGATTTTTAAAAGAAATTTTCAAAATAGAAAATAAATTTATCGAATAAAAAGTTATTTAAACCTTTTTATGCGATATGTAATAATAAATAAGTTAACAAATAATAATTTTTTAAACAATAATTGTTATTTATTTGAATAACAATTTTTTTTAATTCTACTGAAAGTTTAAAAATACACCAAACAACAAATTCGTCTTTTAAAATAATTTTTAACAAAAAAGAAAATAACAAATTTTAACAATTTTTTCTTAATTCCATTTCTGTTTTTTTCCTTTTCTTTTTGTCTCATTTGTTATCTACAAAAGCATTTTTACTTTCGTCTGTTACTGATCCTCCTTGAAATTAAATTCGAAAGGAACATAAAACGAAAATATTATTGAATCAAAAAAAGAATGTAATTACATTAAAAGATTTTATCCTCAATTTAATTAAATTAAAATAATTTAAATTCAATTTGAATTTTTTAAATAAATTGTGTGGAAAAGCTTTTAATTAAATTGAAATATGTAAAAAAAATTGTGTGCCAGATACTCCTTCACTGGACGATAAGTATTTAACAATTTAAGAACGTAAATGTACATGTTTAGTTATTAAGCGATAACTATAGTAATTTAAATTAATTTAATTAAAATTCTAATGAATGGTGCGCGATGATAGATTTAAAGAAAAAGTAAGTAAATAAATAAAAAAAAAAATTAGTATAAAAAGAACCGTTTCGTTAACTACGATA